GGTTGGGGTCCCTTCCTGCCCTGTCCCCGCTGGGCCGATTTGGGGTCCCCAGATCGCCTCGTACCCCCCTCCCCCCAGACGGCGCTGGCGCACCGGGAGCGCGTGGCACTGTACGTGGCGCTGGACGACGTGGCCGAGGACGACCCCGAACTGGCCGAGGCCGTCTGCGACAACGCCAAGCGCTACAGCCGCCTCTTCGCCGACGCCGTCCATGAGCTGCTGCCGCTCTACAAGGAGCGCGAGGTGGGGGCTCCCCAGGTGGGTGGGGGGCGGCGGTGTGCCCCAGCAGCCCCCTCTGACGTCCTCCCCTCCTCCGATGTCCCTGTGTCCCCAGGTGTCCCGCAAGGACGTGCTGGACGTGTACATCGAGCACCGGCTGCTGCTGGAGCAGCGGGGCCGGGATGCGGGGGACACCCGCAGCCCCCAGAATCAGTACCCCCCGGAGCTGCTGCGGCGCTTGTGAGTGTGAGGGGGACCGCGTCCCCCTCTGACCCCGGCCCTGCTGCCCGGGGAGCCCCGTCTCCTCTCTAACCCGCGTCGCCAAGTCCCTGCCTCCCCCGGGGACCCCCTTCTGTTCCCGTGTGCTGCCCCCAAATCCAACCCTCTCCTGCTCCTTCATCCCCCGTTCCTATCCCTGCCTCAGCTGCCTGCCTGCTAACCCTAGCCCTTTCTGTCCCCCCGGTCCCCAGCGAGCTGTACTTCAAGGCCCCCTCCACCGCCAAAGCCCGTGTGGTCCGCGACGTCAGGGCCGACTGCATCGGCAAGCTGGTGACTGTCCGCGGCATCGTCACCCGCGTCACCGAGGTCAAGCCCATGATGGTGGTGGCCACCTACAGCTGCGACCAGTGCGGGGCCGAGACCTACCAGCCCGTAAGTGTGGCAGAAGGGCGCTGGGGCAGGCGCAGGGGCCCCGGTCGGCCCGAGCCCACCCCCTCGGCTCTCCCCAGATCCAGTCGCCCACCTTCATGCCGCTGCTGATGTGCCCAAGCCGCGAGTGCCAGACGAACCGCTCGGGAGGGCGGCTCTACCTGCAGAGCCGCGGCTCCAAGTTCATCAAGTTCCAGGAGCTGAAGATGCAGGAGCATGTGAGGGGGGGGGGGGGGGAGGGCGGGGGGCAGGACCTTGGGGTGTCTCCGTGAGCCCCAGCCGCAACTGGAGGGTCCTGTCTCTCCTGGGCCTCCTCCCCGTCCCTGCCGTCCTCTGGGGACAGTCTGGCTCCATCGGGGAGGTGACAGCAGTGGCGCAGCACCGCCGTGTCACCTCCCCAGGGTCTCGCAGAGCTCGGGGGCCGCAATGGTTTCAGGTCGGGGAGCCCCAGATTGGCCCCAGTCTCCCCCCCCTGCAGCTTCCCCAGCATGGGGTGGGGGAGGATACTCCTCCCCTGGCCAACACATCCCACCCCCGGGTCAGCGTCACCGCCGGAGATGAGGAGGCGATACGTCCGCATGGCTCTGTCCTATCCAGTCTGCCCCAGTCCATACTGGTGCAAGGGTGGTTCGGGGATGGGGAGAGAGTCTGGTGATGCCCCCAGGTGCTGCGGGTCCCCAGCCCCGTCTGTCCCCGCAGACCGACCAGGTGCCAGTGGGACACCTTCCCCGCTCCATCAGCGTGGCTGTGCACGGGGAGAACACGCGCCTGGCCCAGCCCGGGGACCACGTCAGCGTCACCGGCGTCTTCCTGCCCCTGCTGAAGACCGGCTTCCGCCAGATGGCCCAGGCAAGCACCGCGGCGGTGGACGGGGGGCTATGGCAGGCACCCACAGCTGCCCCCAACCTGCTGCTGCCCTCTTCTCCCACAGGGCTTGCTCTCTGAGACCTACCTGGAGGCCCACTGCATCGTGAAGATGAACAAGAGCGAGGAGGACGAGTCGGGGGCTGGGGACCTGAGCGAGGAGGAGCTCCGGCAGATCACAGGTGAGGCCATCGGGCACACGGGACGTGCCCAGCTGGCGGACGGACGGCAAGCAGGGCCTGGGCCTGCCCCACGGCAGCTTCCCTCTCGCCACCTTCGCAGAGGAGGACTTCTATGACAAGCTGGCCTCCTCCATCGCCCCCGAGATCTACGGCCACGAGGATGTGAAGAAGGCGCTGCTCCTGCTGCTGGTGGGCGGCGTGGATCGCAACCCCCACGGCATGAAGATCCGAGGTGAGGCTGCGCACCGTGCTGGGGTGGGAGCCTTTGCCGGGGGTGCCTCCCTCTCCCGTGGGAAGGTTTGGCTGTCTGAGATCAGCCAAGGGTCCGGAAGGTTCGGGATCAGGGCCTCCCGCTTCACGCAGGCAGGTTTTGGGGGATGGGGTTGGCCTTGCGGGGCCACGGAGAGAATCAGCGGCTGCTGCTGAGGGATTTGGGACAGGAGCAAAGTGGCACAGAGGGAGCAGATTTGCCCCCCGCGGACTCGCCCCCTGCTTCCCCCCCCCCCAGGAAACATCAACATCTGCCTCATGGGTGACCCCGGTGTGGCCAAGTCGCAGCTCCTGTCCTACATCGACCGCCTGGCACCCCGCAGTGAGTACCAGGCTCCTGGGGGAGGGTGTGGGTGGGCAGGGTGCCTGCGCCCCCCCCTCACCCCGCCGCTCCCCTCTGCCCCCAGGCCAGTACACGACAGGCCGGGGCTCCTCGGGCGTGGGGCTGACGGCGGCCGTGCTGCGGGACCCGCTGACGGGGGAGCTGGCGCTGGAGGGGGGTGCGCTGGTGCTGGCCGACCGGGGCGTCTGCTGCATCGACGAGTTTGACAAGATGCTGGAGGCCGACCGCACGGCCATCCATGAGGTGATGGAGCAGCAGAGCATCTCCATCGCCAAGGCGGGCGTGCTGGCCACCCTCAACGCCCGCTGCGCCATCTTGGCCGCCGCCACCCCTGCCTACGGCCGCTACAACCCCAAGCGCAGCCTGGAGCACAACATCCAGCTGCCTGCCGCCCTCCTCTCCCGCTTTGACCTGCTCTGGCTCATCCAGGACCGCCCTGACCGCGACAACGACCTGCGGTGAGTGGGGGGAGCGGTGGGGACAGCCGAGGGGTGCCCCGGGGCGTGTATGGGGCTGGGGGGAGCCCACGGAGCATGTGAGGGGCTGCAGTGGAGGCCACGGGGCTGGGCTAGAGGGAGCGTGGGACCTCCACGAGAGCCATGGGGCCGGGCTGGTAGTCGTGGGGTAGCCTTGGCCCCGCTGCCAGCCCCTCTCTGCCCCACAGCCTGGCCCAGCACATCACCTATGTGCACCAGCACAGCCGCCAGCCCCCCTGCTCCTTCCAGCAGCTCGACATGAAGCTGATGAGGTAAGAGAGGCCGCAAGAGGCTGCTGTCGCCCGTGTCCCCCCCCATCCCCGCTGTCCCCCCCCCTCCCCGCTGTCCCCTCACCCTGCCCGTCCCCCAGGCGCTACATTGCCATGTGCAAGCGGAAGCAGCCGGTGGTGCCGGAGGCTTTGGCCGACTACATCACGGCCGCCTACGTGGAGATGCGGAAGGAGGCATGGGCCAGCAAGGACACGACCTACACCTCGGCGCGCACCTTGCTGGGCATCCTCCGCCTGGCCACTGCCCTGGTGAGCCCCGGCGCAGGCAGGGATGGGCAGGGAGGGGTGTGTGTGGCAGCGTGGGACCCGCGGAGCTGGGCAGGGGCTAGAGGGGCCTGACTGGGTAGGACTAGGCAGGAGAAGATGAGCTAAAGCAGGGTGTTAGCTGGGAGAGTATCCCCGTCCAACCCGCCCCTTCTCCTCCGCAAGCCCCAGGGGCCCCAAAGTGCTGTTTGTGCAGGTAGTGTGTGTGCGGCGTCTACTGCCGAGGCAGCACTTCCAGAGCCCCCGGGGCACGACCAGCGTGGGCCGGTGTCCCCTCCTGTCCCTTCCTAGGGCACAGCCAGCTGGGGGCCGCCTCCAAGCTCCACTCTTGTCCTCATCCCTTTCCGGAGCTGGCTGGCAGCAACCCCCCAGGATGGGGGCAGCGCACTGGAGGGGCTTCCAGTGGTCTCGGGGGGCAGCGAGGAGTGTTGGGAGCCCCTGCGTGATGTCAGAGGGTGCCAGGGGCTGCCCTGGGGGCTCCCAGTTGCTGCTAACCCCCCCCTGCTCCCACAGGCCCGGCTGCGGCTGGTGGACGTGGTGGAGAAAGAGGATGTGAACGAGGCCATGAGGCTCATGGAGATGTCGAAGGACTCGCTGCTGGGGGACAAGGGACAGCAGAGCCGGTGAGCAGGGGACACAGAGG